CAGTACACAGTATGATTTGAAATAGAGAACAGTTAGGAATTTGCTCTTTCAAGCATTGTATACTGAAATGAGTTAAAAAATGTCAATAGAGAATAAAGAAAACAAAACAAATTTGGCAAAGAGAAAGAAACTTGAGATAAAATAAAGATGTGACAAAAATGAAAATCTAATAGATGGTCGATAAATCATTTATCTCTTATATATATTCGGCTTTAATTTTTTTCTGCAGATTTTATTTTATTCTTGTTTGCAAGAAGATTGAGCGTGCAACAAAGTAAGAGCGGCTAGATCGAATTCGAACGATGATGAGTTCATTGTCGATGACTTGGACCACGCGCGTGCATCAGCAGCATTCTTCATACTTATTGTCAGTAATATTGGACAATGATTCTGTCGCTGATAATATCCAATGATTAATACGTCGTCGTCGATGAGATGCTATTGACCGCAAATTAATTGCGTAATGGTATCAACTGGTACAGAGATACAAATAACATGAAAATCTATAGGATATATCCAAAGAACGTCTAAAAGAATCAAGACACTGCAATGTTTTTTTTTTTCTGGATCACTGAAAATGTCTTTGCAGCGAATTCGATTGATGCAACGCAGTATGCATTGAGACGTCCTAAATTTCATCTCGTTTCCACGAACTGATGTTAAAAATGCAAATATGTATGTACTAATACTCACAATCAGCGTAAGTCAACATATTGCTTTTGGAACTCATTCTACGGATCTCTATATAATCGATCAACACGTTCATATATATATATATATGTGTGTTATGTTTAATTAATTTTATAAGCGATGCATTTCTAGTCGAATTCGCGATCGCATCAGGCGAATTCGCATCCGAGGAGAATCGTCACGACGATCATTCGGATATTCCAGCACCGAATTGTTGGAGAGCACCGTCATCTCAAATCACACACGCACCTTTTGTTGAAGGGTCGAACTCTCACGGCCACCTTCACAGAAGCCATGGTTCCGCGAGGAGGAGCGCATGGGGCCAACGAAACAGGCGGTCGCTGTCACCCTCCTCTGCGGCGACGTGACGCGTCGAAGGGTCGTCTTCGGCACGCGAATAGTTCCCGACGACGCTACGGCCTACGGCGTTGCACGTTTACGGAAGACGCTGGCGTCCTCGTCGTACCTCGAATGCGTTCAGCAACAACGACATCGTCTCCTCCGTTATACACACGCTCGTGATTCACGAACGACCGCGAGTGACTGCTGACTGCTGTGCAGTCGCTGTACCGAGCGCCGAGTCGAGTCGGAGCCGTGTCGAGACTAGTGAACGCGCATGCGTGACTTCCTTGCAACTCGATTGCGAGCGGATTCTATCCACTCGAAGGCCGTTCAAAAGCACTGCGTCGTCTGGAATTATGTATAAGATATTCAAATTGATGTCTCTCTCTCTCTCTCTCTCTCTCTAACGTTAGAGAAAAAGAGATATATATATCGAAAGAGTGATATATACACCATATACCAAAGACAATATACAGAAAATCATATTCAGAAAAATACTGAATATATAAATGTATAGAATATAAAAAAACGAGACATTACAAATTTGATAAAAGGCAAATAAGATAAAAAGTCAAAGAGAAAATATCGGTAACGTTTAACTCTATATCGTTAGCAAAGTAACGTATAATTACCTTAAATATAAATGCGATATATCGATATTTCAATAAATTTGAGTCAATATTGATATCGATATACATCTGACGATATTATTGACGGATGCAATTCGGCGTAAAGGAGGGCATCGAGGAGGATAAGGGCGGAGAAGTGGAACATGACGTGGACCAGGGCGCTTCTCTCAAACAGGTTTATGCTTCCTTCGCGCAGTGACGTCATCCTAGCGGCCGTTTGCGCTCGCGCGAACGGAAAAAGCCGAGCCGCACCGCGCCACCCACGCCGGCTACGAGGAACGGTGGGGCAGGAGGGAAACGAGGCGGGAACCGTGATCGCTAAACCAAATCGCTTTGCGGTTTCTCGACGCGTAACGGCGGTCGCGGCGATAATTCGCGTCGTCTTGTTGTCCAGCTGCTGGTGATTGCGCCTGATCGGGCATCTATCCAGGACCAGGTCATCTGTCCGCCAACTCGCCTGCTAAAAAATGTATAATGTAGGCGGCGAAGTACCAAAACGGAACCCGGAGCGAGAAACGGATGTTCGTTGTCGGACGCGCGTTGTCGTCACGTGTCACGGGTCGACAAACCTTTTCATATCCGGATAACACGCTTTTGCATATCTCTCGGAGCTCCAACTCGTGTTATACCTCTTGCGACAGGTGGTTGATTTTGATTTCCGAAGGAATCGTTGAAAAGAATAAAATTTTTCCACAGCACCCTCATTAGACATTATCAAAGCATTAATAAATCATTTTGCGGAGAAGGGACGATAACGGGGAAAATAAACTAGATATGCGTGTCTAATGACAATTTGAAAAATGTATTCTAACGTATGATTGGTTCAATCTTGTATGCGTGCGCATTTTTATTTCGATTTCTGAAGACGGACCAATCAGGCAGCTTTTCCGCGCGAATTCTAAATACGGCAAAGTGTGCGCGTATGAACGGGAGATTAATGAAAAAAACCGAGCACGCGTCGATACCTTCTTCCATTGTATAATGCGCATAACGGCGTACTTCACGCTTCCGAGAAGTCGTTTCTCGTTTCTTCTTTCGTTGTAATTTATCGCGCGTAACAAAAGATCCAATGACGAGGCGGAATTTTTTTTAAAAGAGATAAGGGTACGGGCTCTGTGTAAGTATATAAAACTTGCTTAACGGTTCCAACCGTAATAATTATAGATCTATAAAAACTTGATTATTTCAAACTAATTATTATGAAATTTAAACCGCTTCTTCGTTTTTTTAGGTATATGTAAAATACCGTTTTATGAAAGAATAAAAGAGACATATATATATGATAATAATATAAGTTTCTTAGAAAATTTGACTTTGGCTTGTAAGGAATTAAAATTAATTATAAAGATGTGTGAAAATATTTATCAAATAAATCTAGAAGTGATATCTTATAATTAGACAGGCAGACGAATGATAAATTGCGAGAACCTTGAAAAGCCGAGCAGTTACACGATACGTGTTTGCGCATAGCGATTATTCATAACCGATCGAATTGACGTAATCGCATTTGCGTCGTGGATCCATTTATAAGCATAGCACACATCCGGAAAACTAAATACGGCGACGGGAGGATGAACCAATCCTGCCATTGACCGCGTGTAATGTCGCGCCGTTTTAATTAATACGGATACGCGTGGCAAAAAATCCAGACAAATCCCGACAAAGCGTGTCCGACTGTCCGACTAATAAAAACGTGTGAAAATTGAAGAGTTTCAGATAGTAATTTCATAAAAACTGAGAGAATTTATTTATCGAATAAGAAACACGATGCTATCTTTTAAATATAATAAAGTAACTTGGGTGCGACTTGACTAAAAACTCTCGATTTTAGACAGAAATTCAAAGATAAATTTTCTACGTGTAAAACTTTATTAAACAATGTTGTGGGTATATATATTTTTTTATTTAAGTTATATTTTATATTATTTTTTAAGAAAAAATAATGGGAACACTTCCGTCGACCACTTGCTGCCATCTTTCAGGTAGCTTCGTTACTCCATTTTCAAAAAATTTTTTTCGACAGACGATTTCTTTACCGACCAAAACGTCCGCCGTTGAATGTACACAGATGGCGGTACTTGCGCGCGCGCAACTCGCGCCTGCCTTCGAAAGGGGCGATTCGGAGCAGTTTGTTCACCGAAACGGGCGACGACGGAAGGGGGAATAGAAGGGGAGAACGCGGATGGCGAGGGCGAGGGATTCGCGGCGGAATCATCGCGTTAGTCGGGTGGCAACTGTCCAGGCATGTGCGTCGTTCGTCTAGTCCGGTGAACGCGTGCGCGGGTGGTTTGTGTTGGTGTTGGTAGTGGTGGTAATAGGTGGTAATAGGTGGTAATAGTGGTGGCGGTGCACCGAGAAAGAAAGGTGGTACGTTCGCTCTTCGTTCCTTCTCGAGTGCCTCTCGCTTAATCGCCAAGGTACAGGACGAAGGCAGTGATTCGCGAACATGTGATTCTGACAGGAAGAGAAAGAAAGAGAGACAGCCCTTCGCGATAGTTTCTTTTCGGTGACGTTTCCGTCACCGTATGTACGCGAGAGCGCGGTGGTGAGTTCGCCTCGCTCGCGTCGCTCCGGACACGCCGGGATACGCCGTGGAGTCGTCGCCCCCTCCCACTCCCTCCCTCTCGCTCGCTCGCTCGCGCGCGTCGAGGGGTTGTTACCGTCGTGCCGAAGAGGATATAATGTTCTGAAATTCGTGACGGCGAGAGAGCCACGCGCGCATCATTATGGTCGCTAAGCACTTTGCTTCGCAGGGTGAGTCTTTCTCTCTTACGTCAATTCTTTTCTTTCGTCGAGCGTACATCTATCGCCCCCGCCCCGAAATTATCGCGTATAATTTTCCCCCTCGCCTTCTCGTTGTTGAAACCCGATGCGGGAGCGGGTAGGTGGCTATTGGGTGGTGCACGGCTCGATCATAATAATAAATTCGCAGCGTTGCGTGTACTTTCTACACTTTCCTACCTACCTACCCCTTCTCGTCTTTCTTCCCTCTCGCTTGAAAATAATGCATAATTTGAATCGTAACAAATGTATCGGTGACTCTCTCGAATGGAAAATAATTTCAACGAATTTCATACCAAACGTACCGTTTCTTTCTTATCGAAAAGTTGTATCTCAGCTGTTGCGAGCGAGATTCGATAGCGTATAAAAACTCGGCAATATTTACAAATTATAATTATCATTATCCATCTATATAATTGCTAACTTTTGTAATAAATAATTATTCGAAAGAAGAAGAAAATAAAGTATGAGCTATATTATACGTTATTGAGATCGCAAAAGTCTACTTAAAGAAACTAATAATGATGCAGAATCGATTCGATTCGCTCTCTCTGTCGTGCGTGGCGACTCGCAACGACCATCGACACTTCTCTCCGAGTTCTGCTCCTCCCTCTCGTTCGTTTTCGGCATACTGATCGAATGGGCGTACGTCTCTTACCGCGACCGTCCGTCTCGCCACAAGTGTTTTCCCGATGTTCATCGGACTCGAGAAAGAAATATGCGTCTCGAGAATTTAAAGCCACGCCATATAATCTAGAATCGCGAGGTAAAAAAGCGCCATTCGTTATTTTGCTTTCATCGCTAACCGGAAAAAGAACTCGCGTATTTTCTCGCGAAAGGAATGTCTCTCCGCGCATAACTTCCTTTCTGTAATTACATTACTGTGACCGCAGAGATATTTTACTTGCCTTTAAAGGGTATAAAATTAAATTGCCTCTTACTCTTCGGATATCGAGAAGCAAAACGTAAAGCATTTAAATAGCAATGTATATCTATTTATGTGTAGGAAAGATCAAGTTGCAAATGAAACGTGTTGCGCTTTCTCTCTTTTTTTTTTTTTTTTAATTTATATATCCGTTAACGCGCGAGGAATTAGCTCGAGGGATGATTCCGCGTATCGAAAACGAGAATGCGATAGCGGCAGATGGCACGATAACGGCGACATATGAGCTTCGTCTGGCAGCTGATTGACTGCGCGATGTCAAGTTCGCGGGGCGACTTTCGCCGCTTCGATGCCCAATCGATTCGCGCAATCCCATTCTCTCGCGTGTCTCGCGGTCTCCGCTCTGGCACGCTCGTACGTACACGCGGTCATTAGACACAAAAGTCAAGGGAACGTAACAGCGGTGGGAAAAAACTCCACCGTAGCTCACGCGGGGATTCGCGAGATCAACGACCAGCGGAATATTCCGTATCGCGATAGCGCGATGCTTGGCGTATTATTGCGTTAAAAAAAATAAAAAAAAAAAAAACGCGTAACTATATGATAATTGCAACAATTTGATGTGCAATATATACAGTCGCTTTACTATATATCTTATATTAATTATGTTCATTAATACTGAAGACGGTATCGCGCCAGTAAGACTTTATTCCACGATTTAAACGTGTTAAATTAAATTACGTTATTAATCTCGTTTAGAATATGAAGGGAACCATGATAAGATCTATGTCGGTGACGTAAAACCGCGAAAGGATTCTTGTCGGCATGCTACCTAGAGTGTACACTATACACACACAGTCGGCATTCACGACATCCTTATCGAACATATCACTGTTACTGATAAAGTTGCTTGCAATGTATATCTTAAAAGATATGCATATTGTATATATATGTAAATACATTCTCGGTATAGATCTTCCGTCGCGAATACAAAGCAGCTAGTCACTCCATAAAAGACGCCGCATCGACACGTGTGAAACGCGTGAGATATGACGCGGTTTGACATAATACAAGTTACACTGCGTTTTACCCTCTTATTGTCAGCGTTGCCGTATGATATTAAAAGTATATAAATTTTACAATTACATAAGTCGTCATTATTTATGGCGTAATTATTATCACGTGTTATACTTTCTGTACTTAGCCATGTGTTATAGTAGAAAATAAATGCGCGAAAATTTCAATAAACATTGTCTAATGTCTATTATTTTAATCATGCTACGCGCGCTCAATCTCTCAAGAAATTTTTTTATTTTATTTAAGTATATAGCACACACATGATATGTAAATTAATTAATATACGCACACGTTGTAAATTGATTTATCTCGTGCTTGACGGAATATGACTCGTTCTACTTTTTTTCGGACTGACAACGAAATATTCACGGGAAATGTCACTGATTCGCGATCGTTGATATTATCTGTCAGCGTATAGTCAGTTTTCCAGGAAATTGTATTCGACGAAAGAAACTTTCCCCGGGAGAGATGTATTCGCGTATCGTCAGAATCTCGTTTTCTAGAGCCAATGAGTCATCGGTGACATTCTAAAGAGCAGGTTTCCCCGGTATTCCGGTATGCTCGTCAAGTGAATCATCGCGTGCTACGTGTAATATCGAAAAAGTGGCCACGCGGAACTAGTTTTATCGTCATCTGGAAATTAGGGTATATCGACGCTTTCATCTAATTATGGATTGTCTGACGAATTCTTAGAACATTAATAGGAATTCAAAGAGCGCGATTGAGTGATCTAAGAATGCAGAATTATTCAAAATAGTCAGCAAACCAAGTGATATTTTTGTAAATTAATTCTTTTGTAATTTCAAGTAAATTTTATTGTAGCAGAATTTATAATTTTATTTATTATAATTTGTACTCTGGCAACAATTAAAATGATGAACACTACACTTAATTAAAATGAAGAATTAAATTGAATCAAATTACGTTTAAACAAGATAGACATGGATGGATGTCGAATATATCGGATATACTATCTTTACTCGCAATTTGAATTAATTTATTTATCCGAAGATAGATAATATTTATCCGCAGATAGCATTAAATCCGATTGCGAGAACATTGAATTTTCGCTGAGAAAGAATCGATTTGTCGAGAAAATTTTAATTCAAAGAGGAAGCTGAATACGAACGACTTCTGATATATGTTATATTATATACCCTGTGATTGAATGTTTTATCGCCTCGAGATATGACGAATGCACGCATAACCATCTCTTTCTTTCCGTCACGCGAATCCAAGGGACGCATGTCCTCTGGCCCGGATAAGTTCCCGCGTGAGAATTATATGTTCCTTTCTGTACAACTACTACTATCGCAGCTATTATATTACACGTATACGATCGCAATTACGCTTTGCGCCATGTGGTGTTACTCATGCCAGTTGTGCATTTTAATTCCCTTTCTCGGTTAGCAATCGTTCGTGATTGCGCTTTGTTCTGCACAACGTTTTCTTGCCATATATACATATATTCCAATCTTATACGCGCGATTTATGTTTCTTCGCGTTGCGAGAATCAAGGATAATTTTACGAGAAGCTATTTCGAATAAACAATGACGATGAAAAGATTTATCTAATAATAAAGGTTGACAAAAGTTGGAAAAATTATTTGTGTCTCGCAGTTTAATCGTCAAGTTTAATTTATGGGAATGATATTTATACGAATCGGATTTTTTCAAAATTGGAATTGTCGATATTCTCATTTAGATTTAATTAAAGATGCAAATGTTCAATATATTGGGAACGACTTTTAAATTTTTTAAATTGTATTTTTTCTTTAATTGTTATCACTTTCTATATAAAAATTTCAATCCACGCAGTACGTTCATATCTCTCATTACGGCCATTACAATTTGAATGAGAGAAAATTAAATTATTACACACATGAAAATTAGAATAGTACATAATGCGCACACGCGATAGAAAGAATAAAGTTAATTTTTATGTAAAGACATTCAAGAATAGATATCTTTCACTGGTGTTTGGGAAACGGATAGAGATCCGTTCGACAAAAAAAAAAGTACGACGCGTCGTTTTATCGCGGAGATAGGCGTATAAAAACGTAAAGACAGAAAATGAATGGTATTATAATAAAGAGTGTAGGTACTACAAAAAGAATAATATTGACATATGCACAGATTTTGTAATTAACTTTAAATTAATTAACTTTTTTATTTTCAACTTTTTTCATTAAATTAACTTTTAATTAAATTATCTTCTTTATTTTTTATTTTTTTAATTTAATTAACTTTTCAGAAACCTAATTTAGAATAATATTTAAATAAAATAGCGCAATAAATGTGATTTTTTTTATAAATATGTATACCCGAGTACATTTGATTTTCTAAATACAATTTGTTACATTTTACACGTTTAATTTTATATTAATTCAATAATGTAATCTTTTTCTGTTTCTTTCTTTCTCTCTTCAATTTAAATCTAGCTGATAGATTTCCGAATCATTACTATTTAATTCGATGCCGTCACTACCAAACTATGCCACGTTAATTGTGCATGATTTTAGTCATTGATTAAGAGAGAGATAACGGAGCTGACTTTTATTTCGTAATTTCCCAAACGAAGCCACACGACAAAGCATTAGAAAAAGCGCAGCATGCATGGCTGATTTGCATTTTGGAAGGGTTTTGAATTGTTAATCGCGAAATTTGCCAATAGTTAGCAGCGGGTCCATAGCAGCAGATTCCCGTTAATCACGATCTTGAAATTTACGCTGCGGCAGCTGGACAGTGCAGGTGCGGTCGCAGGTGCGTGTGCATATCGAGATGCACCTTGCGGATCGAGAAGCTCGCCGCCGACACGTGGACTATCGTTGAGATAAGGCGAGAACCACATGATTGATTTTCTTCGAGGCGTTTCGCGTCACACTATTATTGTCGCAAATTGATTTCGAAGCACCGGAAGA